ATTACTCTTTAAAAATTCAAAATTGCTTCCCTGTTTTTACAATTTATACAGGGTATTTTTTATTGGTATGCTAATATTGTAGGGTGTGATTATTCAGGTCATTTTATGAAGAAAAACTCATATGAACATATGTCCGCAACGGCTTCAATTTTTTGTTACAGGAAGTTGAACATTTGTTTTTTAAAGAGATATTTTTAATATAATAGTTTAGATATAATTTTCAATTTTGGCATGTGTTAATGGGATATAAAACCATATATTTTATTTAGAAAATTTATTTTGTTGCTCTACCAGTGGCGTCTTTGCAAACATGTCATCTGATATTTTCTACAAAAAAGTAGTACTCCACTGACATTTTTACTCATTTAACTGGTCAATTCTACATCAATACGGCATCTTGTATTTTTCTCGTCGCCGCTCGGTTCTAGATTAAAATAATTGAAATTAATCGTCAATACTGCAAAATGAAGAAATTTTAATTTAATTGATGAACGATAAGGTAAACGACACTAAAGTACCTATGTGGTTTAATATCCCATTAAAAATACAAAAATAAGAGGAAATCTCATATTCTGATATTCAGCAATACTATCTATGGCGTATATTCTTTTAAATTGTTTCGTCCATAAAACTTTAAGAAGTTCTTCTTTCTTATCGCTGTCTTAAAAATAAAAATCATTGTCTATTAGAAAATTTTGTATATCCACTTTCGTCATCGTGTTGAATGTACTCTTAAACAATCTGCGTCTTGACTAACTCGTCGGCAGATCAACGATTCACTACAGCTGTGGATTCACAATGCAGTACAGGTGGCTGGAAATACAACCGACAGGACCGGACTAGGTTTGCGAATAAACTTTTTAGAAAATTAACTTAGTTCGTTGTACATATTTTTCAGATTTTCAAAATGTAAAAACTATACGAGAACACATTAATTAAGTAGGTAATTACTAGTAAATAGAGACTTTATTAAGATTACCATTTCAACATTTAGGGTACAATTAAATGAAACAAACAATTAGCATTTATATGTGATAAATTTTAGTATATTTTTAAAATTTTGTTGAGCCCGTAAACATAGGGTAAGTGCATTTTGCTACATTAAAATCGAATTTGTTTAGTGTTATTATTAAGACTTGTATTAATACATTTACCCTAAATGCGCTCTTACCTCAACTGAACCCACATAATTCTATGCAGAACCCATCGGAGTTTCTTCTGAGAGTAAAGAAGAATCTCGAGAAGAATTTAAGGAGGGGGAGGATGAGGAAGAGAAAGATGATAATAACCAAAAATTTAATATGTGGATATCACCCTGAACCCAAAAAATTATTAGAAATATGTACCACCAATTAAAATTGGAAAATAATGGCTCTAATTATGGTGTCATAGAAAGAATACACGTTTTGACAAAAATTTCTAAACCTTCGATTAGAAAAGTTATTATAACTCAGAAATGTTTTCCAAGAGAAAAGCGGACTTAAAGGTCTCTAGTAAGTCTAGATCACTTTATGATGGAAAATATTAAAAGAAAGGTTTATAATTTTTATTCTACTAATAGTGTACCATCTTTTTAAATAATTAAAAATGAAATCAAGTTGGTTCCTGGTTTCTCTCATGAATCTGATAAAACCACTAGAAAAGTGCACCATTCTGTGTGTTTAAGATAAAAACAGCATATTATGGAATCGCAAAGAATTACGATTTTACGTAATGAATACCTTACTAAAATAGAGGAAGCTCGTCGGCAAGATAGATTCATGATGTATCTTGATGAGACTTGGTACGACACTCATGATATTGGGAAAAAAGGATGGAGTGATCAATCTGCTAAATGTTCTGTAAAGGCTCCTTCAAATAGAGGAAAACGTATTATAATATTATATGTCGGTAATGAAACCGGTTTTTGTTCCGAATTGCTTGCTATTATCAGCAAAGAATATTTTGAGTTGTTTAGCAGATGATCACCAAGATATGACATTACAATATTGAAAGGCTTGAATCTCAAACCTAGCTATGTTGTGGATGAGATGGCTACGGCATTCAGTCATACCGTAATCCGCTTACCACCATATTATTGTACATTTAATGCAATAAAATTAATTTGAAGTAATATCTCAAGGAAGGTCAGAAAAAAATGTTAATCTTGCGTTGTGTGAAAGTGTTTTAGATGCTATCAGAGAAATTGTTGGAGGTATATCTCAAGAATTATGGCCCAATTGTGTTCTCCATGTTACCAAAATTAAAAATAATCATCGAGTATTTCTGGCTCATTCTTGTATTATAAACCTGAATGACACGTCAAGTGAAGATGATAGTTCTGATAAGATTTGATTTTTCATTTTAGTTATATTTTTACTTTATTAAACGTAACCACCTATCTGATGGTTCACGTTATTTTGTAAAGGAACATGATATTGTTCCGGTTTTCCTTTTCTAGGAATGTAACCTTGATATGGTGAGAAGGCTTGCGTGCTTTAATCACTTTAGAAATTAAAGCCAGATTAATACATTCCAAAATCTTTTAAATTTTTTATAATAAAAGGATACAAATAACAGTTGTTCGAGCATTTCTCGTAACATCCTACATTGATTTTTTATATTCAATGTAATATTTAAATACTTCAATTAAATCAAATAAATAGTAGATGAAAATAATATAGTTTTATGGTGATTTTGATTACAAGTCGCGAATATTTATTAAGGATTAATTTATCTTTTAAAACTAAATTTAGTAACATTTATGAAACACCTATTTGAAGTTAGGAAATTATGCAAATAATGTGATAATTTTTAAATGCGTATGACATTTCCACTTGAAATATTGTAACGGTCAATAAAATCTATAAGTTGAAATTAAAGAAAATTAACGCAAAATCATGTATAATTAAGAAATAATTGAAGTTATGAATCACCTGGTATATCAAACCGCAAAGTAACAATAATTAATAAATAATGTGCATCATTTTTAGTCAAATGAATTAGTTTGACCAGAAGAAAAGACGAAATAAGTCTCAAATAATGAGAATAATTATGAATAAAATAATAATACATACAAAAATTTTTACTAATAACGTAATACTTACAATTTTGCTTTAACAGGTTTGTGAAGTACAAATAAAACAGTAATTTGCAACCTGTAAATGAGTCCTTGAGAATATTGCATACAAATAAGACTGATCTCACTGGTAGTATCATAGTATCAGTCAAGCCGTTAAAAAAATCCACAGGAAACAGTTTTCTCCAAATAAGTGCAGGAAATCTACAAAGAATAAAGTTTATAACATTAAATAATTAGGAAAAAAATGATAAATAGATAGAAGCATGTAGGTTAACGATCAATAAACAAATTAAACTAATAAACTCAACTTAATAAGAGAAAATTAAGAAACTTTATGCCTGACAACAAAAACACATATTTTATTGATTTTGTAAATACTTGTAAATAGTTTTAAGAAGTAGAATAAGTGTTTAAATGATTCATTTACATTTAAAAAAGTGATAACAAAACAAAAAACACTTTTATTAGTGAAAGCCAAGAAAAAGACAATACTTTTGTTTCCCCCTGTATATAACCTGACATTTTAATTATTAAAATTAAGACACCAACTTACCTGACAAAAGTGACTTGATTAGGGAATATGTGAGAGTTTTCGGTTCAGTTTCCATGGAAACTGTTTGAACAATTGGAACAAGGTGGTGGAAGAAAGAAAAAAAATCAATTTTTTGAAAAATCTCTTCTGAAAATTGGGTAGAAAATTACCTATTTTCCATTCTACAAGTGATTTTCGTTGCAAAATCACATCACAGAGTCTAGTTTTTCCTTCACAAACGTTGCTGTGGTGCTTTGAACCAGAAAGGGCACACATTTCTACAAGACGACATAGGATTCTCCAAGCCGTGCATAAAAGTGATATTCTTGCGCTAAAACATAAAAAAAATGAAATTTCATGTAACAAAAACTTAAATATTTTGCAAAATATTAACAATATGAAAGGCCTATAAACTTTGATAAAAGTTCTATTTAAAAAAAAAAATTGAATCTTCATTTTAGTAGTGAATATTTTTTTTTTATAATGAAGTTTAACATTTAACTTGAACGACAAATAAATATCTCCTTATTTGAGCAATTTAGATTTTGTTAAAATTAAATTGAACGAAATAGACAGCTCAAGTAAGAAATGTATATGTCATTCGGAATTTTAATTTAAATAGAAAAGGAATCATATGGTTTCGTCTCGCAGCTAAAAGTAGTATTCAAAATGAATAATTTAAAATCTAAATAATAACAGTGAATCAACTAGCTATTACTACGAACCTTGTGAATGAAACCTAATGATTTCTTGGAAGAATCTTATAAAATATTTCATTGTTGTCAGGTACAAACAAAATATGAAAATGTACTTATCTGGTATAACCTCAAATTTACATGCCTCGTAAATTATTTCTTTATACACTTTAATATTTAATTGTTCCTTGTGTTTTGGCAGAACTTGCTAGATTGCGTTTGTTTCTTCCTTATAAATAAATGTTCTTTGTTTGCACTTATATTCGCTTTTCTTTTGGTTTAAACTTTACACAAGTATAAATAACAAGTGACCATATTGGTAAAATCGGACGAGCTCGTATCGCAGCGCCGTCTGGCGTGAAACAAATAAATCTCTGCAACCACAGAGTCGGACCTACCCCTGAGAGATATTTAATAATTGTAGATGATGATTGGTTTTATAAAACAAATATTTTAATAATTCAATTTAAATTAAACAAGTGATTTGAATTTAATTAATTTTGTTATTCTAACAATGGCGCCCAACAAACGGTTAATAGCAACTCTTGCTAGAATTAGATCATATCCACTCTAGTAAATCGCCACAACAATGGCGCCCAACGTGGGGCAATAAATAAAAGAGGGGGCAATAATAATATAAAAAAAAAGTAATAAATAAAAAAAAAAAAATAAAAATATATTTTTACAAAGTTTTTACTATTAAACGAGCATAATGGAAAATATTATCACAATTTTTGATCTCAAAACTTTAGAGTTAAAACAATTATTGGAAATAAGGGGTCTGGATAAAACCGGAATCAAATTGACACTTTTGAATCGCCTTAAGGAAGCAATGGAAAAGGAGGGTAAGTTTCCAGAGCAATATGACTGCAGAATAGAATTAAACGTGGAGGAAAAGGAAACTACGCCTGCCACAGAAGAGGTGGAAACAGTTGTGAAAGAAGTTTTGTCAGCTGAAACACACACCAAGATGGAGATGAATGATCAACTTATCATGTTATTGGATTATATGAAAGGGATGAAAGAAGAACAAAGAAGAATGGGAACAAAAATAGAAGAAGAACAAAGAAGAATGGGAACAAAAATAGAAGAAGAACAAAGAAGAATGGGAACAAAAATAGAAGAAGAACAAAAAAGAATGGGAACAAAAATAGAAGAAATGGGAACAAAAATAGAAAAGAAAAAAAAAACAAGATAGAAAAATGGAAGAAAAATTCGTAAAATTGGAAAGACAAGCACAAGAAGTAGAGGAAATAAAAAAGGAACAAAACAAAATGAATACGATATTAATGGAACAGAAGAGAAAATGTGAAACAGTGGAGAAAAGTATGGAGGAAAAAGTGACGAAGATAACATGCTATGACCTTCAGAGCAAAACAAAATTGATGTGGAATTATTAATTATCTCTGCTCAGTCAGAGAGGGTCGTAGGTGAATTTTTCCCTTTTGTCCTCGAAATTGGCTGAATAACCGATTGTACCGAGATACAATCGATTATTACCTGGATACATTTTATGTACACCGCAAATGAAAAAGAAGAATACTGAATACTTTTTTGAAAGGTTATTATATATAAATAAAACGTGTTTATTAGCTATGAGAGCAGAATTTTGATGTTTTATTCAAACTTTAGCTATATTTTGGTTGTAATAGGTAAGTCCTTGGAATTTAATATATATACAGCTTATGTACCGGTTAAAATAGATATCTATCTTGGTGGCTCACAAAATAAATGACTTTAATATTTACAAACTAAAAGGTTAAAATTGGTTAATTATATGTACAATTTTCAGAATATTCCCAAACACTGAGGGTGGAGATATTTCGTGGGATAACACCTTCTAACTGGTGGACTTGAGTTGGTATAATCAGAAAATTCCTACCTTGGAGATTGTCACTCTTACATAGGCGAGGGTTGAATTCGAAGACCTCTTTGGAAGGGTCCACTTATTTAATCTCTAATTAAAATGTCCTTCATTTGTAGTAACTCCAGTTAGTAAGGGATGAAAATGGTGTCCCAATCGTTTACTTCTATCCAACAGTAAGGTTCTCAAATACAGCTGCCGTTGAGACTACCTCAGATTAATGTTATGTCCGGAATTGTACGTAATAAAAATGAAAAGTAACTATCTGTGACTACGATAGCCAGAAAAGGAAACAGAATAGTATAGAATGGAATAGAATAGAAGGCCTGAGGTGAAAGGTGGCCTTTTTAAGAAGTTCTTTTTGCTAAATTGAAAATAAAATCCTCTAATGAGATTAAGTATACTAACAAATAGCAATACTTATTAAATTTTCAATGTCTTTTCGCTTCTAGTATCTTATATCCTTATGAAAAGATCTTCAAAAACACATGTTCCATGAAGGTATGATACCAGAAGAATGAAAAATGGTGGAAAAGGATATGCACTGACAAAATTAATGACTTCTACAGGAAGTGAAAATAAAATATGACAGGTAATTTAAAATATTATTAGCCAATTTCTCACAATCACCTACTTAATTCCAAAATTACCTAGATTATTTGGGGTTTTAATTATTTGTAATGATTTAGACAATCACCTGAATAAATTTGAATGACATAATGTCATAATTAATGTAAATAAACAAAGAAAATGAACCCTGAAATCATTTATAGAATTCAAAACGTTTCTTTGTCCCTTTTAGGTTCCTAGAACTCAACTACAAACTAATTTAAGAAAAACAATGGAAAATATATCTATAGAGGACCAGAACGGATATTCAAAACAAGAAAGAAACACTTGATAAAAGGTTAAACTTCTACAATTTGTAATTTGACAATATAAAAGGTATCTTTTCATTCTACTTAACTCACAGAAGTGAGAAATGGATCTCCTAATAATCTTCTAGCCAAAACGGTGTATACGGAGTGAGCTTTTAATAGATTTTATTCCTATTATACTTAAATAATAATTTAGAGTAAATTAAAAGTTAAATGCCAATACTATATATATTATTTTTGTGGTAAAAGCATCCCAGTACATTCGTATGGATTTTGAACCGTAACAACCCCCCTCTTACCTAAGAGAAGTGTTTTCCCTTCTAAAGGTGAAAACACTTTAAGGAAAAAAGTAATTCATAAACCAACTTATACTTAAATATTAAAAGTTATAGTCAAAAATATATACAATAAGAAAAAAAAAATTATTTATACACTAGGAAAATGGTTTTCTCATCTAAAGATGAAAACACTTTTAAATAAATGAAATCCTTCATTCCACACAGGACAGCTACAAAACAACCAAGGTATCATGTGAGTCCAATGTTTCGAAAATGAAGTTATAGAGGTTCCTATTAAATAGACCAATTGCGCTTAGTCATACTGGAGTAACGGATAAGTTAGGATATGATAAGTTTAGGTTAGAATAGGTTTAGGATATGTTTAGGTTAGGATAGTTTTGATTTAAGGTAGGTTTAGGTTAGGATAGTTTTTGGTTTAAGATAGGTTTAGAATAGGTTAAGGTTTAGGATAAGTTTAGGTTTAATATAGGTTAAGGTTAGGATAGTTTTTTTTTAATTTACACTGAGTATCTACAACTATATATACAATATCTAATCTTCGTTCTGATCTTCAGGCTCATTCCTATCAGGATCTATATCCTCTAGATCTGGGGGATGGGCTTTTAGATCCTTGGCATGCCAAATACCTATTGACCTACCATCTGTATCTCGTAGTTCATATGACCAGGGAGATAGTATCCGACATATTTTGTAAGGTCCAACATATTTAGGTGCTAGCTTCGAAGTAAAATGTTTCGAGGCATCAGATAGGGAAAAATGTCGTTTCCACACATCTTGGTTGAGTGTGAACGTATCAGGTCTATGTCTTAAGTTATATGTCTTACTGCTACGCTCATAAGCCTTCTTTAATTTACAACTAACATCCTTGTAAACCTCTTCTAGAGCTTTACTCCGAGAAATAAGTTCTTCACTTCTGTCGAAGTCGAGTACATCATTTAGAGGTATACCCTCGTTTCCACTAATTGGTATTTCGCGACCATATACAATGAAATTGGGGGTTAAACCCGTAACTTCATGCCGTGCAGATCGAATTGCCCAATCTATCTTCGAAAGATTTTTGTCCCATGTCCGGTGATTTCCACCTACGTAACAACGTAACATGGTTTTTACCACACGATTCACTCTCTCAACAGGATTGCTTTGGGGAAGGTAATTGGCTGTAAATACCTGTTTTATTTGATATTCCTTCATCAAAGATTGAAAAGCGTTGGATTTAAATTGTACCCCGTTGTCAGTGATTACTCGAGTCGGAGCACCGAATACTAATATCACTCTTTCTTCCAGAAGCTTGATAATTGGAGGAGTGGTAGCAGATCTCATAGGGAACAAGAGGCAAAATTTGCTAAAACAATCACAGACAGCTAAAATATAACAATTTCCTGAGGAAGATCTTGGCAAGGGACCCATAATATCGACACTGAGGAGTTGAAAGGGACGCGTAACAGAGGTGGTCTTAGTCAACAGTTGGCCTGCTGTTTTACGTTGTTCAGGTTTGTTCTGAAGACAAACTGTGCAGCGATTTACGTAACGAGCTACATCGTACTTCATCTTAGGCCAGTAAAAAGATGAGGATATCCTATTTAGGGTTTTAAAAATTCCCAGGTGGCCACTTAAGGGTGGATCATGGTGATTTTTGATTACCACGTTGCGCTGTCCTTTTGGAACTACTTTTAACCACTCTTGTTGACATTGGGTGAGATCTGGAAACCTCAAATTGGCTCTCTTGTAAAGATCTGTACCCTCTACTCTCCATAAAGGAAATTTGTCAGGATCTTGTTGTATCCTTGTCAACATGGTCTGTAGCCACTTATCTTGCTGTCCGTTAGTTGGATCAGGAGCAGCGACACAATCTATGGGAGGTACGGCACGTGAAAGAGCGTCTGCGACTACGTGATCCTTCCCTTTGCGATGGATGACTTCAAAGTCATACTGTTGTAAACGGAGAGCCCATCGAGCTATACGACCTACAGGGTCTTTGATGTTAAATAACCATTTTAAGCTATAATGGTCCATTACAACAGTAAACTTGGAACCCTCAATCCATGAACGACATCGTTCTATCGCGAAGAGGACAGCTAAACACTCCTTTTCCGTAGTCGTATACTTTCTCTCTGCCTTGGTTAAGGACCTTGACAGGTAACATATTACCTTCTCTCCATCTTCATGTTGTTGAGATAGTACAGCGCCTAAGCCATAGTCGCTAGCATCTGTTTGGAGAGAGAATGGTACTTCAAAGTTGGGACACGATAAAACTGGAGCAGAGATTAAATGAGTCTTGATACTCTCAAAAGACGTCTGACAGTTATCGTCCCACTTAAAACTAACATTCTTCTTCAACAGTGCTGTGAGAGGAGCAGTTAAGGTGGAGAAGTTGGGGACAAATCTTCGATACCAAGAAGCCAATCCCACAACTCTACGTACTTCGGTAATATTTCGTGGTGGAGGTAGGTTTACAATGGCATCAACCTTATCAGCGTCTACCATCAATCCCGCAGCGTTTACTACATAGCCAAGATATTTCAGCTCTGACTTACAGAAGAAGCATTTATCTTGGTTTAATGTCAAACCCGCAGTAACCAATCTATGTAGTACCTTCTTTAGGACATCGATATGTTGTTCAAATGTGGGAGTGCAGATGACAATATCATCTAAATAAACGAAGCAAAATTCTTCTAAATCTACTCCCACAACTTGATCAATGAATCTCTGCCATGTAGCAGGGGCATTATGTAATCCAAAGGGCATTCTCCGGAACTGGAATAGACCGCGTGTAGGTACGACAAACGCTGTTAGGGGTTTAGACTCCTCTGCCATTGGAATCTGCCAGTATGCTGACTTAATGTCAAGTGTCGTTAGGTATCGCGCATCCCTTAGTTTGTCCAAGATTGAGCTAACGAATGGAAGAGGGTAAGCGTCTGGTAGACTGACTTCGTTCAGTCGCTTGTAGTTAACACAAAATCTATAAGTGTTATCGGGCTTTTTGACTAAAACAATTGGGGAGGCCCACGGGGAACTTGACGGTTCAATTATACCATCCTTTAGCATCCTATCGAGTTCTTCGTTCACATGCTTTTGGAGAGGGGGAGAGAGTGGATAATGTCGTTGTTTGATCGGGGTGGCACTGGTGCGGATAACATGGGATACTGCTGAGGTACAG